AACTTCTCACACCACAACCTTTAATTCTAATTTTTCTCTTGATTATATACCTAAGGTTTATAATCCACCATATTAACCCAACAATTGAACCCCCAACATTTCAAACCCTAAACCCCCAAATTCCATGACATAACACTATATGCTAAAAAATGGAGATTTTGTATTTATATAATCAAAATACCACAAATCTATTTATTAATGCAAGTATTGAAGAAGAACTAGGACCCCTACCTCAAGAATCAAGCAAGGAGCAAAGCTTCAAGAAGAATCCTTTGCCAATCCGAAATCCAATCGATTGAAAAGTGATATCTTCAAGCCTTCTTCACTTCTTAGTGAGAGATCTTGGCCAAAACTTAGAGAAATGGAAGATATTTGGGGTCAAAAACCTAGGGTTTTCCGACCTAGGGTGAGAGGAAGGAGGAAGGAAATGGAAAATGCAAAGAATGATCTAGAAATGTGCCTTTAAACTTGCTGAATTCGCACAGTCCGCTCGAGCATCGCTTTTCCCGCTCGAGCATACTTGCTTCCAGCACAGATTTCAAAACTTCAAACGGGTATAACTCTCTCATTTGGACTCCGTTGTAGGTTGTTCTTGTGTCCAAATCGAAACTCCGGAAATAAGCTTTCCAATGGTTCTAACCTCACATCCAAATTCAAAATGTGGAAAAAGAAAAGGGCAAAAGTGTGACGGCTGTTCGTAAGAAAAATTATCATAATTAAATTCTTGGTTTACTCTTACTTTACCATTATGTTACTACTTCAATCAATACCCCAAAATAAAATAAGGAGGTTCCAAATACACTAATAAAAATGTCAAGGGCAATCTCACTTTCCACGTTTGAGCGTCGCTTTCCACGCTCGAGCGTGCACAGACCAACAAAGTCGCCCGCTCGAGCGACCACTTCTACGCTCGAGCAGGAATTCAGAACTCTCAGAATTTCGGATCGTCTGAAAAAATGATGGGAACCTTTCAAGTCCACTCGAGCGTCAACTCCCCCGCTGGAGTGGCGGGAAAAATCCCGGATCGTTGCAACTTCCAGAGAAAATTCACTTAGTGACAAACTTCAGAGAAAATTCAATACTGACCAACTACAAATAAAATTCACACATTGGCAACATCTAGAGAAAATTCACTTAGTGACAATATCCAGAGAAAATTCACTTAATGACCAACTATAGATAAAATTTACACAATGACAACATCCAGAGAAAATTCACACATTGACCAAATTCAAAGAAAATTCACACTAGCCACAACCAAAGAAAATTCACACAGTGGCCAAAACCAGAGAAAATTCAAAGTGTTAGGGAAAAATCACATTCACTCAATTCCTACATGTATAGAAAATTCACATACTTAGGTAAAATAAGATATATTTACAACTACCTTCATTCTCATCTTTTCCCGTCGCAGCAAGCATAACTCCTTTGTATCGTCCTTTCAAAAATGTTCCATCAAAAAATAGCAATGATCGACAATATTTGAAACCAGCAGTGCATGCATGAAAAGCCACAAATACTCTTTTGAAACGCTTGTTATCGTCAAAATCTAACTCAAATCGACTACCTGGATTGTTTTTCAATGCCTCATCAAAATACCACCGTAATTGATCGAATGACAAACAAGAATCCCCATACGTACTACATTTTGCTTTTTCAACCCCCAACCAACCACAGTTATAACTGATTGAGACCCCATACTTGTCTTTCATTTCTTTGACAACATCCACTGGACGAGTTAAAGGTTTTGCAGTTACCTCTTCAAGTATCAGCCCATAAACTAAGCTGGAAGTCATCCTTGCATATTTACTAGTACGAACCGTCACACTACACGTATGTTCATTGTTCAAAGTTCTTATGTGAAAGAACCCATTTGTTTTTTCAACTGAAGCATGTACACGTCACGTACATCCCTTTGATTCCTTATATGCACATTTTGCCGTAACCCTCAACTTGTCATTTTTAACATACGTAAACTAAAAGCCAATCTCAATAGCATACTTGCATAAAACAGTACGGAACTCAACCACACCACCCTCAAACTTTTGTCCAACACTCGTAATAATATTTCGCCAACCAACTGACAATAGCACATTTTCTTGGTTAGAACAAAACTTAGAGAGTGAATTCCTTTCAATATCCACTAGCCTATCACATTCACCATGCACAAATTCTACCAAATTAGACCCCATTTCATCATCTTGATCAGAAGTACTACACCTAGTAACTGAAACATCAACTATATCAACACCATGTGCACAAACAACCCTCAACATATTCAGAAAATCAATATCATTTCGAACCATACAATTCGGATGGCCCACAATAGAATATGAAATACACATCGTCTCAGGATACAAATTCTCCCGTGTTTTACACAAAATGCCAACCAATTCCTCAAAATTCAATTCGCATGAAACATTAATGACAATAATATCATTCCTATATATGCACAACAACACTGCACTGTCCATTGAAACTGAAAGAAAAAATAAGAAAAATAATTTGTTCAACATAAAAACACTTCACAAGAACAATATAACAGTCCAGAGAAATTTCTAATAATTATAATTTTCTCTAGATTATAATAACAAGCTTATAATTTTCTTTGGACTCAAATAAAAGTCCAGAGATATTTACAAATTTATATTCACCTTCAAGATAACAAAAACAAAATCACAGAAAAATTAATGAATCCAGAGATAATCATAGAGAAATTTACTGCTAACCATTAAACACAATCATAGACAAAAATCACACATTAGATCTGTTATAAAATTATAAGCTTCTCTGTGATTTTCACTAAATTACAAGCTTACAAGTTTCTCTGCGTCATTCTGCAATATTACACTCATATCAAAATTCAGAGAAATTTACAAACTCATATACACCTTCAAGATAACAAAAAAAGCACTGCACTGCACTGCCTATCTAAATTGAAAGAAAAAACAAAAAAACAAAAAAAACTTTTGCTCAGAGAAACAAAAACTTATATTCATTTTTTACAAACTTATAATTTTCTCTGAATTACAAATTGAAAGTGAATAACAAATTTATAATTTTCTCTCAACTACAAATAAAAGTCCAGTGAAATTTAAGAACTTACATTCACTTTCTCAGATTCTATCTGCATTAGAAACTTCTAATAATATGTCCATATGAACTTATAATTTTTTCTGTCATTTTCGTTGGATTATAATAACAAACTTATAATTTTCTCTGGACTATACCAACAAAAGTGCAAAGAATGAAATTTCTCTGGTTTAAACAAAATTCTCTGGTTTGAAAAAATAGAGAACAAAACTTATCATTGATTAGCATGTTGATGAAAAATAGAGCACAAAAAATGAACTTTGATCAGCATGTTGATGAAAAACAGAGCATGAAAAATGAACTCTAAACATCAAAATCAACCACACTATCAACACTCTTTGAAATTGATCAAAAAACAGAGAATGAAAAATTAATTTCAAAAATAAAAATCAACTCTATCAAGCTGGGCTCTGTCTAAAATTGATCAATAACAGCAAATGGAAAATCAACTCCAAAAATCATAAACAATTTCACTGAGCTAGCCTCTCTTTTAAATTGATCAAAACTGAAAATAAAAACCTAATGCAAAAATATACTCGAAAAACTAATATGAAATCGGAATCCTTATATAAAATTCAAAACAAAAATAAAAAATTCATGTGGAATTTCTATCGAAATCATACCTGATTCAACTCTACTGAAAAACCTACGCGATCAACACACTATAACACTTACACGATCGTCGTAATCTCTATCGTCAAGTCCACTGCAACACTTGTGAAATCCCTACGAAATCTCCGACAAAAACTCCGCCGCAAAATCAGTTTCCAAAATCTCCACCATGAAATCAGCAATAGAATATTCAGTTTGCCAAAATCCAAACGATCTTATGTTATAACGAGGATAAATTAGGTATTTTATAACATAATAAAGTTGAGGGACTTTAGCCATCAAAACATATTATTATGTATCTCTCTTCCTATCAAAAGTTGGAGAGAGACCGTAGGCCAATTTTCCCATAATAGAACTCCCACAAGGTTTGTGGGTTAAAAAGACCCTTTCCCTTATATAACATATATAGATAAGAAATAAATAATAAAAAAATTGATAGAATTGTAGTAACTTTAAGATTTTACTAAATTTAAGATCCTAGTATAATTCGAATCGTTTAAAATCATAGCATCGTAAGATCTTATGATTCGAATTGAAATTTTGATAACTATGATGAGAAATACAAGTGGCTCTGGTTCGTGACTTAGGCTGCGTTTGGTATTGTTCTCTAAAATTATTTTATTTAAGATTTGAGAAGAATTTTAAAAAAAGAAAAAAATAATATTACAAAAATTAAGTTTTATTTTTATTTACTTTTTTTCATTAATTTTATTTTGCTCCACAAATCCCCCCTATCCGAACATATCTAGTTTTATCTTGTCAAACAAACTTGGTCTCTAGGGTAGTAGTTGAATCTGAGAATGGTGACATCAACTACCCCACCAAGAAAAAATGAGTACACTAGGGTGTGTCGGGTCGCATTTTTGTTTTCTATCTTTATTTTTGGAAAACACTTTTTGCTCTTTCTCCAAATCAATCAATCGAAATGGACTCTAAAAAATCCCAATTAATTGGAATCAGCACCCTTTGTCCAAGCTACTTCACAATTGAATCAAAACTAGAAGTTACATTCTTACTTTGTTCAGTTTGATAGCTCGCTGACACCACTGCCAAAAAAAAACACAACAACTAATCTAAGCTCTAAAATTAACGAAGGATGTGTTTGGGGCAGTTCTTGAAAATTGATAATCAAACAACAAAAGCTAAAAGCATATCTCTCTTACTTCTCAATAATCATTTTTTTAAACTTATTTAAGATAATTCTGCCTTACAAGTTGCACAAAAAATCTGACACGTACTTAAACAAAGAAGTTATAAAGTAGTCCCATAAGATGCACCAAACACAGCCGGAGTGATGGACACGCACAAAATTTACTGCTTATGCACAGCCACATCCATCAAAGAGATACATAAAGTGCAAACATACGGGTTGAGCAAGTTCTGTGAACCATGTTCTAAGCTCTTCATAATTTTACACAACATCAGATCAGATAATTGAACACACCATCATTTTCATGATTCAAGCCCTGTTTTCAACCAAAATAGGGATTATACAGAAACTAGACTATGCATAGGTAACCCTTAAAATGAAAACAAGCCGCAATGACGCCTTGAGCTCCAACTACAACAACTAGTGACTAATTCCAATAATTTCCTTCCTGCAACTCTCAAAACTTTCCTGTGGTCCAGATCCAGATACCTGTTCTAGATTACAAAAAAAAAGAAGAAAAAAAGTGCATCAAACTGAAACAATCGAACTCCACATTGTACAAGTCAAACCCTCATTGCTAATTGTAAAAATGAAAAATGTGACATTAAATACATGGACAATCAGAACCAGGTTCAATGGTTTCATTTGCAGAAAGGTTCTTGAAGTGTACAGACTTCAGTCACAAATGCCCTTTACTATACATACAGCCTCTAAAGATTCATGGCACTTGATGAATTTCTAAAGCACATCCCTGCATCGAAACAAGATAAAACACAGTTAATTTCAAAACCACTCTCCCTCTCCCCTTCCCAACTAACCAAAACAAAAAGACATGTCTTTTTTGTAAACTCTCGTCTTGTCTAGGTGAATTCATAAATTTGCAAAAGCATTTTGGTCATGTCACATGCATCCGAATTATGTGCCAGGTGCATAACAAGAAATACAGCATTTCATTTACATAACTAAATAAGAAGTTTCTAGTACATATTTAAAACAACGCTGATAACAAATAATCTATAACAGCCAATTATGTCAGGCAATAAGTGGTTAGGGGCTATGTTACATGGACACGGGTAAGGTACATGTGTTGAACGTGGGTGCATATTTAGATTTCGGACCTCCAAACCTCAAATTTAAGGGTACGGGGACTCAACAGAAAAAAGAGTCGTATGTAACATAGGGGAACAAAGCATGCAACATATGGTGTACCACAAAACAGGATTTCATGCGTTTCGAGAAATGACAAAGGGTGCCCTTTTTGTTTTATTTCTATGCAATATTAAAGGAAATCCATTTTGTAAGAGTAGGAAGACATCATGTAATAAACAAAATGAATAATACACCAACAAGAAGAAGATAATGGGCTAGGAACACACTTAAATTTCAAAATCTCCATAAGATAACGCGATACGGTTCAGTATGATATTTGGGCTTTGAGAATAAATTAGAATTCAGCATATAAAAGTCATTAAACCAAGATGAGATGCTAATGGATTTTCTTAATGATATTTGGGCTTTGGAGATAAATGGGGGTAGGAGAAATGAAAATTTCAAAATCTCCATAAGATAATTGAGACGGTTCGTTAATGATATTTGGTCATTGGGAATAAATTATCATTCAATAAAATTATGAAATATGCAACCAACACATGTGAATTAACTGGCTAAAGAAACTGTTGAAACTATGAATTCTAAAAATATAAGTATGTCAGTGTATCTCAGTAAAGTGGGAAAAGGTTAAAAGGTAAGAAGTTCAAGAGCTTGCTTTTGAACATAAATGAATTCCAATTTCCGTTTGAAAGAAGCAACAGTCAGAGTCATGGTGCTGCAATGAATAAGCAAGTTATGTGCAAAAAATGTTCAAGACAATAACTAGTTCATAAATATATGACAAATGCAGCTGTACAGAAAAGGTTTAGTACGAGGTTGTACAGAAATATACTCAATGCAATTTGCTGATAGAGCATATCTCTTCTTGGCATCATACACGAGAACCCAAAAGACCTGAAATGTTGACAAGATATGAACAAATATGTTACTTTATATCTATAAAAGCATTAATTTTATAGTCAAATGGAAAACAGATGTTGTAGAAAAGGTAAAAACACTTGGACATTGCTAGAAATTTGCATAGACATTTCAACTATGTATGCCTTGGTTTAATAGTAAACCAGACCCCTTGTAATTTGCTTGTTTACGCTTCTCATCCACTATAATGCTGTCATTTAAGTTCTTCCCATGATGGAACATTATCTAATGTTTAGTAGTTCATGGCACTGACATTGGAGCAAAAATGTGGTTCATACATCTTTCCTCAATTTAATCATAGGATTGAACAAGGAAATAAAGTTGGCAGACAACTTCACTACTTCCTGTGGAGTACATATAAAACTTGGATAGTTTCTGCATTAAACCAGAAATTATTTATTGAAGAAACAATGCCAAAAGAGATGATGTGTTTCAATTACAAGACAATTAAACTATAAGGACTTAATGTGCTTTTATTAACATAAGCACACATATATCTATGAAAAACCTCAGGAGTTTGTTTGAGCAATATAGCTTGCTAATAACCAATAGAGAAATGCTATTGACTCCCATATTAATTTCTGCTAGTGAATTAAACAACATGAAAGCAACCCCAACACAATGTGCATACAGTGGTGACTATAGGTTGCCTAATCATTTTTTTAAATATGAAATCAACTGTACAGAACATCCAATCCAACTTAGTGGGGAAAAAAATGAAGATAAACAATGGAATAGAACCAGTTTGCAGGGGAGGATCAGCCAGATTAGGCCCTATATCCCTAGGACTATGATTGGATGACAGGAATCAAAGACAAGGAATGAGTATATCATTGCTAGTAATAAAATTATTGTATCAATGTTATTCAAGAGTTTGGTTTAGTCAGAAATTCTCAATGGAAATATGACAGAATTTTAAATAATGTGGGCCTATATATTTTTTTCATTCTTAAATGGTTCACAATTCCTCCAAAAATGTGAGATTACCATGGGGGAGTGTGGGAATCAGATTCCTACTTAGTTTAGGAAAGTGATTCCAATTTGAGTAGGTAATTAGGAATCACTTCCCCATTCCAATATGTTCTAAACGATGGAATTATGGGAATTCAGAATCACATTCCCATTCTCCTTTTTAATTCCTACCATCCAAATTGAGCCTTGTAGGAATAGGAGAGGTCTTGATTTCTCTCATTATCTTCACGCTCTAGCAAACCAATTTAGGAACTTTAGTTACGAGTTGGTTACTCCCATTCCTTATACTAGGAAACCCAGAGTCAATAGGGTGAACTATAAGTCCAACAGGAAGCCTAGGTACAACAATAGAAATGATCAAAAGAAATCAAAGAAAAATAAGACTACATCTCCCAAGAGTGTCCCTAAACCCGTATATTCTAAAGTTAATAAAGTTTAGGTTAGAAAGAACGCTCATCAAATTGCTCTTTGATTAGTGTAGTTAAAGTGTGTCACTTTAGTGTGCTAGGTTGTTATTTCATTCATCTAATGTTGATATTGCATCACACATTTGCTGTACTAAATGCATTACATTATATGGGGTATTAACTTTAGACTAATAATTGGTTGCAACTGGGAATCAGAGTACACATGTTTACTTTATTGATTTTAACAATGAGGAACAGAGGTACAATCTAAAGTTTTCTTTGCCGATCAAAAAAAAAAAAATATGGACTGATCTTGGAATTAATAGACTTTTGCATGGATTTACTTTAGTTAGTGAAAACATTAATTCAATGCAGTCAATTAATCATGTGCATTTCTTGTTCTTATAGCTTGGACTAAACACCTGAGGCTACGGAATTTACTTAGTTGACATGTAAATTTGTATATCTTGGACTAGATTGACCTATGCACTTGAGTTAGCCACCTATGGATTACAAAGAAAGCTACTTAATACATAATGACCTCATATGAAATGTGTGAATATTAAATATGACGAAAGGACTACGTAACCCTTCACATTCATGCAAGATAAAAGTTGCAAACTTGGTGTTAATAAAATTAAAACATTTATAGGTTTGTGAGTAAACAAGGCAATAGGTCTGAGTTTGAGATTTGACTTCAAGTCTCTAAGATTCATAGCTTTAAATTGAAACTTACGATGATTTTGCGACTTAGTTCTATGTCTATGCAATGTTGAACAAGAGTTAATCGCTAACACATACTGCGCTTGTTATTTGCTTCACTTACTAAAACTAGATGCATGATTAAGTTTTTCGCATTGCCTTTGTATCAAGTTCATTTTGTAGGTATTTCCAACCAAATTTACAATTATGTCTATGTATTCTTAATGCATCATGTTATCATGCATATTTTCATTTTAACAGGAGCACACATTTAGGGGAGTGTTTCATGGTCTTGAATTCATACATCTGCTTGTTTTTGTATGACATTGTTTTGCGGGAGCATAGCATCTCTTTTTGGTGTGCTTTTGTTTTTCTAGCATATCTTTAGAGGGAGTTTATGACTTCAAGCTTGTTCATGGGTGCTCAAACCTATTCATTACCTATTAAATGTCATTCTAGGCTGCACTATCTTAGAGTTTTTCCACTTGTGTAGACCTTTTACTCATGTTCTTTCTATGGATCCTTTTGTCTTCCATGCCAAAAAGGGGAAGAAATATGTGTGTGTTTCCCTTAGAGAAATATGGGAAAGTGATATTTGTGTGTTTAGATGAACAAAAAAGGGAGAAAATGAGAATAACAAACAAATCAATTCTATTGTCTTCTTGTGACAAAAGAGGGGGCTGGGAATGATGTGTGTTTTCACCCATTTATATTTTGAATGGATATGGCTAAGTTCTAGTTTCATTCGTCATTATGCTGAATTTTTAAACTTCAAATTTCTAACCTCTAAAACTACTCAATGCATTTCAAAGGCTTTCCTGTTTTGTATATATATATATTTTTTTTTGTGTTGATACAAATTTGATAGGTTCTGCATGCCATCTTTATTACAAGAATGGCAACTGTATCCACATTTGGCGTGGTTTAGAGGGCAGCAGTGATTCTTGGGATTATTTGTAATTGAGAGTTGTAACTTGTTATTTCTTGGAATTAGTTCTGTCACTGAAATGCCAAAAGAGAGAATGATAGTGCAGACGATTTCTGTATACGAAACAGCTGGTAGAGTTTAGGTAAATGGTTTAGGTTTGTGTATCCAGAAGTGGTTTGTTGAATATCATCAAAGACGACGACAAATTTGGTTGACACATTAAAAAATATGTTTACATAACGATCATGTTGTATTAATCTAAGACACATTTTTCATAATTGCAACTGACTAAGATGTGCTGTGTTTCCATTCTATATGTATTTGGTATTTAATGCCCTGAAAAATAAGACTGAAACAGACAATCCAAGAGCCTATTTAAAGAGTTCTTAAAGGACGCTTGAGGAGCTCTCAGGGGGACTTCAAGAGGCTTGACAGGCGCTCAAAGCAGTGGCCTCTGCAAGTCTAGAATGAAAGTCCAGAGAGGCCTACTTGAAGCCAACTTGAGCAGCCCGTTAATTTTGGAACCCAGGATTCTATTTATCTGACAAAAACTATATCTAGGGCAATACTATTTTGACTCAAATATGTCCAGAACTTTGTGGTTACCCTACCTTCCCCAGAGTTCTAATGTTTACACAACTCAAAACTATATAAACAATTGAAGAAGAATTTGAATAAGCTTTGGATGTGAACTTCTGAATGCTCTCCAATTTTTGTTTACGAAAAAAACCCACACATCACTGCACTTTGTTTGTACCCTGTGCATTGAACATTCCTATCAGATTACGATCCAAATAGTCAAGAGTAGGTCGATGAAGTTGAAGCCAGTTGCGACTGAAGATCAGGTGAGGATTTCGTGGGTCAAGACATCAAACGAAAAGTTCAAGTTGGGGCAATAAATATTGTTTTCTTAAGTCTCGTATTTAAACCTTTGATTGGTGGATTGTTCTCATGGATAAGATGGCTTGTGATTTTCTCGTGCAAATTGTTCTTCCTAAGATTTTCCACATATATTGATGTGTTCTATGTTTAATTTTATTATTGTCATATTGTGTGGTTGGTTTGCCTTTGGATCATCAACTGCTTGATATATATTTGAGTTAGCAAACTGAATTAAACAAACTTTTGTGATTAAATTCTTAATCGGTGATAATTGTACTGTTTGGCCTATTCACCAAAGCACAAACCAAGTCCACCTCCGCCTTTAAATGTTTCTAGGATGTGGAAATCATTAAATGCACAGGATATTTTTTTCTTCATATATAATATAATTATTAGAATTTAAGTTTCAAAGAAGGTGTACAAACTACTAATGCTAATTTCGGTTCAGTGTGATAAAAAAACAACAGGAGTACAACAGAGAAATGAAGGGCAAAAGCATATCATACTGCAATGGTCCAAAGCATATGCAACTGACTTGTTTCAGCACACCATTGTAAGTTGCAACCATGTAGTCATGGCTTCAATTGCAGTTTAAGCACAGAAAAAAACCCACTGGTAAATAGACACAAATTACTTACTACAAGTGGTAATAACGTTATTGCCTATTGTTTGGGGGGGAGGGGTGTTCAACAAATTAAGAAGACAAGATACCTTGAAATATTATCACAAAGCAGAAGAGAAGAGTGACAATCATTGCAAAAAGATTGCTGTTAAGTGGTGATGGCTTGTCTTCTTTCTTTTTCCTCAAGGATTTCATTCGTTCAATCCTTTTCCGCTTTAATGCAGCAAGCTCAGAGAATTCTCTAACCAGCTTAATATCAGCAGCATCCAACGATGGACCTCTGGGAGGCCGGGGTGGTTTAGAAGGAATTTTCGAGCTGGTCTTCTTCCTCTTGTTGTCCTTCTCCATTTTCTTATCCACAAGATTTACCACGTCCGGCCCCAACTTGTTTGACATCATTTCCTCATCTTCAACCAAAACCTCACTAGAATTCAACACTTTGTTGTATGAACCCGAACCATCTCTACCCTTTATAGATCCATCTAATTCTGCAAGCTCACTCCACGGCCTATCCAACAATTTGTATGCATATTTTCCATCTTCTTCACTTGTAGTACCCCCACTTTCCAAATCAACATCCAAATCACCACCTCTTGAATCTATGTGATCCATCAAATGCCAATCTCTTTGCTTCCACTGAAGCCCTCTCAATAATATCAAAAAACAAAATTTCTACACCTCTTTAGCAAAACCCCTAAAATCTTTTTAGTTGACCTACCACATTTAAGAAATGGAAAGCTCAATTTCCTAACAATTGTGGTCATGAAACCATCAATCTCAACAAAGAAGCTGTCATTTTCCACTTTTAAGTTATAGTTGAGACTAAGAGGAATTCCACATTTGCAGTATATACAAACTAACCCTAAACGGTTAAAGGGAATAACCTTCTCATCATTGCAACTTTAAGAAAGCTATCTTTTAGGTTCTAGTTTCGTTAAACTTCACCAAATACATACAACAAAATCTTCAAGCTCTGACCAATGCCCTGCTATTAAACATGAAATATGAAAAAATATATATATTAATGATCAACCCTGAAAAAATTATTCACCAAACCATCCTCTAATAATAACCACAGAACAGAGTCCACCAAAAACCCACATGTTTTTTTTTTTGGGGTGCAAAAAAACCCCCCCCCAAAAAAAAAAAAAAAAAAAATCAAAATCATAATGCTCCAGTTGGTTGTTCTTGTATAATTTACTTGGTGAAATCAAGTTCAAATTTTCATTTTTTTTCACACCCATAAAAGTAGACAATGGAATACATTCAAACCTATACCCTTTCCCCCCAAGTTTTCTAGAAACCAAAGGGTAAAAGGAAATAAACAATGATAACAAATGAAACCATCTAAAAAGGAAAGATAAACATGACATTATTAAACTACAAATAAAAAATGCAGCTAAAAGAAAGTGTAAAATGCAACATCAAATCAAAAAAAAGTTAGCTTTGGAAGAAATTAGAGATTGAATTACAAATTCATACATGGAATACCCATAAAAATACATTGATTTCACTGAATAAGAATATAATGGTAGAAGGTATTTACAGATTCACATACATTGATGATGATGATGAGAGGAAGGGGTCGTTCGCCAAGCTGCTCGATCTCTCCTGATTCTAGAGAGAGAGAGAGAAAAAGTTGTGGATTGTCCTTGGGGCCTTGACAGACAGGGTAGAAACGGAGTCGTTTTGAGGTCAAAGTTACGGCAATGTGGTTTTCGTTTAACATCGCTCGGTTGTGGTTGGTAAAATTGGTATCTGCCAAATAAGGAGAGACGGATATTCGGAGTTTTCCAGGCGAGAGGATAAACTACGTCGGTTAAAAGTTTTTATTTTTACTTTTAATTAGGATAAATTATAAATACATTTTTTGGATAAATTATAAATTATTCTTTGTGATTTTAAAAATTATAGTATGTTCTTAAAATTTTTAATTTCATAACAAATAGGTCCTTTTATTAGTAAATCATCAAGTTAATTAATAATTTTTTATAATGTTAAAATTTTATTTTAATTAATAATTCAAATAATTTTATTATTGTATAGGTGAACAGTTAAAAATTTTATTTTTTCAATTAATTCTGTTAAATAAAAAATTCTGACAGGGAAGTATTTGTAATTTTTCAAATTATAGGGATAATTCGTATTTTAAGCAAATCTCAAGGGTGTATTTGTAATTTACCATTTTTTAATTTTTAATTTATTTTGGATTATATTAATTTTTTATTTTTTTATATATATATTTTTTAAAAAAAATTAAAAAGTTAATTTTTAATCAACTTTTCAAAACAACTCTCTATATATAGATATGGGTATGAGCAGTATAGTTCGGACAATTTGAGAGTAAAATTATAAATTGATTGACGGATTGATAAATTGTGATTTGAGCAGTTTTAGGCGGATTAAAAAATATTTTAATCAATTATCAAGTCTTTACATAATATATAACCCTTTGATAGAACCGCGTGGAGAAGAATGATTCATGTAACCGACCCATTTGATGGGACTTAAGGCTTGGTTTGGTTTGGTTTACATAATATATAACACTAATTTGCATAATATTTTATATATATATAACTATTAATTTGTAATAAATTTCACATATTAAATTTCTTTCACACTTATTTTTATTTTAATATTTCATTATATTTTTAAAAAGTATATATGTATTAACTATAGTGAAACAGAACAATTTCGAAGGCGGATTATAAATTTTAAAGTTTAAACTGCGATTGGCAATTAATACGGTGCGTGCGAATTGAACGGTATTTTGCACAACTCTATATATATTTTGAAAAACTAAATCAAAATGTTAAAAATAAGGGCAAATTACCTACACCTCCCTTGAGGTTTAATGAAATTACAGATTCCTCCTTGAGGTTTTAAAAATTATGTCTCGCCCCATTGCAATTAACGTCGTTAACAGATATCATAAATTGACTAAAATGCCATTTTGATAAATAAGGGCAAATTACTTACATCTCCCTGAGGTTTAGCTAAATTACAGATTCTCCCTTGAGGTTTAGCTAAATTATAGATTCTCCCTTGAGTTTTAGCTAAATTATCATTTCTAAGTAAGTTATGAAATGCAAAATTAAAATGGAAAAGCACTTGTCACACTACAAAAAATTAAGGTTTTAAAGACTAAAATTTAGGTACAAAATTATTTTTAAGGGATCAAATATTTTTGTTGCGAACATATTTTTAGCAATGAAAATTGAACATTACTGATTAATTATTATCTTTTTGGTATCAAATTTTTTGTATCAAAAAATAAATCATTTTAAGACCAAATTATTTTGTCCCTAAAAGTCTATTTATTATTGACATTTTTTAAATTTTATCGCTAAAAGCCTTATTTTTGATTTTTTAATACGACCTTTTAACGACTATCTTTACGACGATAGAAATTATTCTCTACATGTCTTTTGCAACAAAATTTTCACTTTTAGAGATCAAAAAAATTAGTCTTTAAAACTCTTATATGTTGTAGTGTCAGATGGTGAAAATATCATAAAATTAACAAATAATTAAATGAGTTAAAAACATAAAAAATGGCTTGTCAAAAAATTCTCAGAATATGTTTGGTTTGATTTTTAAAATTTTATTTTTAAATTTTTTTTAAAAAATTAAAAATTAATTTGGTTAAGAAATAAAAAACAAAAATAAATATTCTTTTTATATAATTTTATCTTTTGAGTGGTTAGAAATAAATTTTACAAATTAAATATATTTTTTCATATTTATTTTTATTAAATTATTTTTTTTTAAATTGTGAAATTTTTTTCTAAAAACAAATCAAATATGGTTCTAAAAATTTAATTTTTTTTCTTCATCTAACGTAATTCTTTTGTAAATTTTGTTGATTTATCAAAGGTATTTCAACAGGGGTAATATAGTCTATCAATTTATATTTTGATACCGTCTGCTAACTATTCTTAACATTTAATTAACGGTATGGGTTAAATTGTTATACAAATATAAACCTCGAGAGACGGGATATAATTTCTGAAACCTCAGGAGAAAATCTGTAATATAGTAAATCTCAAGGGAGGTGTAGGTAATTTGCCCTAAAAATAAATAAAAATATTAATTTAATTATTTGAATTTAAATCTAAAATTTTAAAGGAAAATGATCCATCCCCACAAAAAGCATCTCGTAAGAGTTTAGTGCTACAGAGTAAGTGAATAGATTCTTACCAATCAAAATCTATGAAAAATTGATTTTGTAAGAAATTTTTGCAAGAATATAACACAACGAATTTTTAAAAACATATTAGAGAGAATATGTTGTTTTAATAATTTTTTGACTTTTTTAAAAAGGTGTTCGGAAAAGTAGAGAGAGTGGTATGGCAACTTATAGTAATTTTTTAATTAAAATATGTAATTGACAAACGAGGTGTAAATTGAAACATCCATTTATATAAACTAGTTAACAAATCGAGGATGAATAATTTAAACAATTTAATAAAAAAAATTTCCATCTATCCTCGTCAACGTCCATCAGGAAGGAGCCTTTTCCTCAATGCACAAGCTCAAAGTACAAAATTACTGGAATCAAAACCAATTAATACAACTATAAATATAAATTAACAATTGTGCCAGGGCATTGTTTTATCAGAACATTAGTTAACATTATATTTTATTAAATATATAGAATGGGTTTGAGAATAGTTTTTGAGTCAAGTTGAGCACAGCCGAGCCTAATCTTGACTCATTATCAATAAATTTTATAAAATCTATACATTATATAAATAAATATATATAAGTTAATTAGTTTATTTTTGTTTAAAATAAAAGAATATACAAAAGAGAGAAAATAAGAAATTTCACACACCAAAATTTAGATACACTAGTAAACCTGTTTGGTAATCATTCCGTTTTCAGTTTATATTTACAAAAATTTTAAAAACTGTCATAAAACTTGTTTGATAATTTTTTTGGTTTATAAATGGTTGTATCAGTTTATAAATTTGAGGAAAAAACGTAAACTCAGAAAATGAGTTTTTTTTTTTCAGTTTTCATTTTTTTTTCCAGTTAATTTTTTTTTCAAATAATTTATTTTAAATATTTTTTTTTTCAAATAATTTTTTTTTTCAAATAATTTATTTTTTTTCAAATATTTTTTTCCCAATTAAATTTTTTTCAATTATTGTGATCTCATTGTCATAATAATAAAAATAAATATAAATATTTTAGACCTGAACAAACATATTTTTTACTTTATGTTTTTAAATTTTTTTAAATATTTTGTTCAAACCAAACGCGTTTGTTATTTATGTTTTTCTAAAAATAAACAAAAACAAGTTTATAAAATTTTTGTAAACATAAACCAAAAACTTAAACATTACCAAACGCTACCTAAATATTTGTACAAACTAAACTACAAAAATATTAATTATTATTTTATTAAATTTATTTTTTTAATATAATAAATAAACTTATTAGATGAATTTTAAATTGTAGTATAAATTTCGAATTGGGTTTGGAATTAAAATTTAAGCGCAACATTTAAACGGATCAAGCTTGGTATGAAATCAATGTCCACCAATGTTGGTAAAATGTAAAGACAAATGAGATCTAGAATTGTGTAAATCAATATTATACAAGAAACCCAGGGGTGGGTGGCAACTTGGCAAGCGCCTGGGGTTTAAGCCCCTAGGTCTTGAGTTCGAATCCCCTCTGGGCCAATCTCCAGGGCGTAGCACAGTTGGTTAGGAGGTTGACCTTAAGGATGCCTTATCAGTTACTTGGTGTAGGTTTAATTCTCCCCCACTGTGCGAGTCCTGACTTACCGAAGCTTGCCTTGTGAGGTCGGGACAAGCTTCCAAGTTATAGTCTCTGCTCCTCGGGGCGAGTCCTGACTTACCGAAGCTTGCCTTGTGAGGTCGGGACAAGCTTCCAAGTTATAGTCTCTGCTCCTCGGGGCGAGTCCTGACTTACCGAAGCTTGCCTTGTGAGGTCGGGACAAGCTTCCAAGTTATAGTCTCTATATTATACAAGAAAATTTATTAAAAAATTATTTAAAATGATAAATTTATGGCATATCACTATAACATATAAGAGTTTTAGAGACCAAATTTTTTGATCTCTAAAAGTGAAAATTTTGTTGCAAAAGACATTTAAGGACCAATTTTTATCGTATAGTCGTTAAAAGGTTGTCTTGAAAAGTCAAAAATAAAACTTTTAGCGACAATTTTGAAAATGTCACTAATAAGTACACATTCAGGGACAAAATAATTTGGTTTTAAAATGATTTATTTTTTGAGACAAAAAATTTAGTTCTAAAAAGATAATAATTCATCACTAATGTCCAATTTTCATTGCTAAAAATATAATACTGATACTTTTCGCAACAAAAATATTTGATCACTAAAAAATAATTTTGTCTCTAAATTTTGGTCTCTAAATTTTAATTTTTTATAGTGTATATTTAAAGTTGTTGTGGAGCAATTTTTTAATGTTATATTTGGTTGTGAAATTTGAGAAGTGATTTGAAAAGAGAAATGGAAAAGGTAAGTGAAATGTAAATAAAATATACCTATATTTCACTTAATTTCCCACATTTTTTCCCTTTTCCTTTCTAAATTTCTCCCTAAATCTCTCAACCAAACACAGTAGGAATGAATTTGGATATTTTCTTTGCAATTACATTAATTTACATGAGATATCACATGGCAAACATCCTACAAAAACTTCTCCACACTGCATGAAATTTCTGTTAATTTAACATTACTAAGAATATTTTACTAGAACAAGAATGACAAAGATGGTGTCTTTATTTAAATAGAAAACAGCTTAAATTCAGACATTCTTCAGATCAGAACATCTTCCACAACAACTCCAACTAAAACTGGTACAAAGACACCCCAAAAACACAAAAAAACTGTAGTCAACTGACAGACCAAATCACTGTGAACTTCAAGCAAAACCAAACTAATTATCCATCATCAATTCATACCCAATCCTATAAGAAGCATAAGCATCAATGCAAGCATACTCAACCTGACTTTCATTAAGCACTCTTGCCTCCCAATTACTCATTGAAACATGCTTCGGCTTCTTCATATTCAAACCCACCACCTCCAAAGCCAAATCCTTTAACCCTGGCCTCCGAAACCTCCCTGGCCACCGCCTCTTCGCCGCCTCTCGAATATCTTCACACTTGCCACACTCCAACCCATACTCATTTTTTAGCTTCGCTGCGTCGTCAGAAACCTCAATCCCCACAAAAGTGAAGTTAGTGTCAGAAAGAAAAGTCTTGAGAGATTGAGGGATTTCATCTACGTAGAAGAGTTGAATGATTAGGCACTTGGAATCAACGCAGAGTTGAAGAGTGGCTGATTTGTTGCTCATGGATCGAATTGGGTGAGGCCTCCATTCAATGTCTAAGCCAACAACCATTGGTTTTGAGGAATATTTGGATAAGATTTCATGTACCCATTCGTCAGCAGTGGCGGCTTTGTCGGTGACAGTAGTTTCAATTGTTTTTCCAGCAAAGTAGACATTGTATTTTGAGGTAGAAGGGTTGAAGGTTATGGATGATGTGGTGAGTGTGTACATTTTTTTTTTTTTTTTTTGTTTTTCAATTATAATGTGTGTGATCTCATTGTCATAATAATGGTTGGATTAGGGTTTGGGTAAGTTTTGCATGGCTTTATATAGTATTTGTTTGTGGCGTAACTTCCAAGTCATGAGACCTTTGGAATCTCTCAAATTAGTGGCACTATTCAATAATTCTATGCTTCAATTTCTTTTGTGTCTGTCAAGTATCGAACGATAGCTATATATTTGAATTATATTTGTTTTTAAAAAAATAGATGATAAATATAATTTCAAAAATAACTATTTATTTTTTGTAATAAAAATTTGAGTCAAACATTTAGATATCCATATCCGATCATCTTGATTTTTTACATAAATATTTTAATCAATGAGTCTTAAAAAATGAACGGTTTAATTCATCGAAATCGATCCCAAAATAGACCTACCAAACCTAAATACTCTCTCAAGTCGAGAAGGCCAACATGAGATAAACTTAACCCTTTCAAATTATTCTCTCTTTTTTTTTTTTAGAAAATTCTGAACATACATAAAATTCATACATAAAACTTGACAAGAATAGTGTGACAATATTATTATTGTAAATAAATCTATCTTTAATGCTATTTTGTTTTGAAATGAAAGGTCTATAATAATTACATCATTATGTATAAATTTTTTAATTATATAGTATTATTTATTATTTATTTTTTGGTCTAAAAAATGAGAGACGAAGATAATAATAAGGTTTCTTGTCTCTCCCAAGTATGACCTTTAGCATATAAGCATACTAGCCTATCACCCGTGTTATGCACGGAATAATTATAAATATTTATATTTATTTTAGATTTTTTTAATATATAAATTATATTTTTTAAAATTTTTTATAAAAATAATTTAACAATCTTATTACTAATCATAGTGTATGGTATAAGTTAAAAAATGTACTGCAGTAACTATGTACGGATTGTATTTATAATTATTTGTATGAGGTAACTTTAAATGTTGATTAGGAAATTTTGACCAAATCAATAAATGCAAGCATGTGAAAAGACATGTGAATTGGAAAAAGTTAATAAAGGTTGATCAGGAGATTTAGACCAAATCAATAAATGCAAGCATGTGAAAAGACATGTGAATTGGAAAAAGTTAATAAAGGTTGATCAGGAGATTTAGACCAAATCAATAAATGCTGAGTTTTTTTTTTAAATAAAAAACTTAAAAATTCAGATTGGAATATTTAAATAAAAGTTAATAAATGCTGAAATTAATAATGCTATCTAACTAACTACAATCACATTTTTCTCATAATAAAAAAAATAATTGAAAAAAATAACCATTAAAATAGTGAATAAAAAATATTATTTAGAACCATTGAATAAACTACAATCACATTTTTCTTTTTGTGAGTGTTTATGTTTATCCAACTTCAATCATATTAAAAAATAAAATTATAAACAAAAGGAGATAACTTCAATCATACAAATCACAATTTTTTTTAATGCTATCTAATCATCATCAATAATTAAAAAAATCAATCACAAATTAAGTCAATTCATAATTAAAAAACACAATAATTTATTTTTCAAAAAACATAGTGAGTTAAAAAGATCAATTATAATTTTTTTTGGTCAAAATACAATCTAATTATCATCAATAATTGGTACATTATGTGACCCTAATGAGTACAATCCATTTTGTTTTTTAAAAAACACAGTGAGTTAAAAATCAAATTACAAATTAAGTGAATTGATAGTTAAAAAAACACAATAATTTTTTTTTAAAACACAGTGAATTAAAAAAATCAATTACAATTTTTTTTTCAAAATACAATATAATCATTATCAATAATTGGTACTTTAAAAATCAAATCAGAAAAAAAATCAAATCAAATCAAATCAAATCACAAATATTTTTATGCTATCTAACTACAATCATATTTTTTTCATAAATAATTGGAAAGAAAAACCATTAAAACAGTAAATAAAAGATTAAATCACATTAAAAAGAACCATTGAACCAACTGCAATCACATCACATTTTTCCCATAATAAAAAAAAAAAATAATTGAAAAAAAAAATCATTCACTAACTACAATCACATTAAAAAAAAGCACCATTGAACTAACTACAATCACATTTTTTTCTTTGTGAGTGTTTATATTTATCTAAGTTCAATGGTATTAAAAATAAAATTAAAATAGTAAATAAAAAGATTAAATGACATTAAAAAAAAAACCATTGAACTAACTACAACAATCATATTGAAAAAAAGAGCCATTGAACAAATTACAATTACATCACATATTTTTAAATGAGAAAAAAGAACTATTAAAAAAAAAAACTATTAAACTAACTACAATCATATTATAAAAAAAAAAAAAGAATCATTCAACTAATTATAATCACATTTTTCTCTTTGTGAGGGTTTATATTTATCTAACTTCAATCATATTAAAAAATCAAAAATAAAATTAAAATAGTAAATAAAAAGATTAAATAACATTAAAAAAAACTATTGAACTAACTACAACAATCATATTAAAAAAAGAGCCATTAAATAAACTACAATCACATCACATCTTTCTCATAATAAAATAAATAAATGAAGAAAAAAAAAAGAACTATTGAACTAACTACAATCACATTAAAAAAAAAAGAATCATTCAACTAATTATAATCACATTTTTCTCTTTGTGATGGTTTATATTTATTTAATTTCAATCATATTAAAAAATCAAATTATAATTTTTTATTCACTAGACAAATCACAAATATTTTTATGCGCTATCTAACTACAATATTAAAACAGTAAACAAAAGGAAAAGTCAAAAATGAGAAAACAAAAAAAAAATTTACTGTTTGCATACGTGGTCACTGAAGTTGAAAGTGTAGAAGTGAGAAGTTAAGAAGGAGAAAACAAAAAGGAGACTCCTTATTTCCAATAGGTATGTGAAAAGTTAAAAAGAGTGTGTGTTTTGGAGAAGTTAAAAAGACTTGAAAGAATTTAATAAGTGCTAAGTTTTTTTTTTCAAAAAAAATCAAAAAAATTAAAAACTTAAGGTTCAGATATTCGAACTCCCACAAAACTTGTAGGTTAGAGATAAATATAAATAAATAGATAGATATAGATATAGATATTTATATTTGTTTTAAATTTTTTTTAATATACAAATTATTTGTTTTGGAAAAAGTGCTACAGTAATCATGAGAGAAGTCAAAAAGTCATGTAGGTTGAGAGAAGTTAATAAATGCTGAGTTTAATTTTTTTTTAAAAAAAAAAACAAAAAATTAGAAAATTAAGATTAGCATATTGGAGCTCCCACAAGCCTTAGGGGGTTAAAAACCCACTTTTGCTTAATATATAGTATAGATAGATAGCATATCATCTGTACTATGCACGGATTGTGTTTACAATTATTTATATATGTGAATTGTGATTTTTAAATATTTTTTTTAAATGTCTTCTTTTTTTCTTTTTTTATATTATATTAAAGTTTAATATTTTGATAATAATCATATGAGTTGGACTTTTCAATGAATTAAATGTCCTTTTTTTTATTATATTATATTAAAGCTTTAATATTTTGATAATAATCATATGTGTTAGAGTCTTTAAGAAATTTTTTTTATGCTTGTTCTTAATGCATTAAAACGTTATTATGAGGGATAATAATCATGTGTTGGGACTTTTCAAAGAATTTTTTTTTTATACTTGTTCTTAATGCATTGAAGTGTTATTATGAGGGTAAAACTTAGGAGTTGGGAGAAGATCAGGGGATTTTGACCAAATCAATAAATGCTGAGGTTTTTTTTTTTTAAATAAAAAATTTAGAAAATTAAGATTGAGATATTGGAGCTCCCACAAGGCTTGAGGTTTAGAAACCTCATTTTCCTTAATATATTTACAATTATCTATATATGTTAATTGCGATTTTTAAATGTCTTTTTTTTTAAATGTCTTCTTTTTTTTTCCTTTTTATATTATATTAAAGTTTAATATTTTGATAATAATCATAAGTGTTGGACTTTTCAAGAATTTTTTTTTTTATGTTTGTTCTTAATGCATTAAAGTGTTATTATGAGAGATAATAATCATATATGTTAGTACTTTTCAAGGAATTCATATGTGTTGGATTTGAAATTTTTTTTTTCATACTTGTACTTAATGCATTAAAGTATTATTATGAGGGTAAGATTTAGGGGTTAAGAGAAGTTAATAAATGTTAAGGTTTTTTTTTTTTAAAATTAAAAAATCAAGAAATTTAGATTGGAAGAGTGGAGCTCTTACAAGACTTGGGGTTAAAAATCCCTTTTTATTTAATATATAGTATAGATATAGATATAGATGTTTCAAATTCTTCTCATTTTTTTTTTTCTAGGAAATGAGAGATGAAGATCATAATAAGGTTTCTTTTGTCTCTCTCAAGTATGACCTTTAGCATATAGGCATATGTTTCAAATTCTTCTCATTTTTTGTCTAGAAAATGAGAGATGAAGATCATAATAACGTTTTTTTGTATCTCTCAAGTATGACCTTTGGAATCTCCATAAGCTTTCTTTTGTATCTCTCAAGTATGAACTTTGGAATCTCCATAAGCTTATGATTAGCTATCAAATAGTTATATATTTAAATTATATTTGTTTTTAAAAAAATGGATGATAAATATAATTTTAAAAATAATAATTTATTTTTTGTAATACAAATTTGAGTCAAACATTTAGTTATCCATATCTAATTATCTTAATTTTTTGCATGAATATTCTAATCAACAAGTCCTAAAGCATGAAAGGTTTGGATCACTAAAATCGATCCCAAAATGGACCTACCAAACCCAAATACTCTTTGAAGTTGAAAAGGTCAACATGAGAGAAACCTAACCCTTTCAAATTATTCTCTTTTTTAAAAAAAAACACTAAACATACATAAAATTCATATAGAAAACTTGACAAGAATGGTATAACAATATCATTATTGTCAATAAATCTATCTTTAATGGTGTTTTGTTATGTAGTAAAAAGTTTACAATGAGCTACAT